TTTGCATTTCCCTACTGATTAGTGATATTAAATACCTCTTCATGTGTCTGTTGGCCATTTGTATGGGGGCTTTTTTTTGGAAAAATACCTAGTTAAGTCCTTTGCCCATTTTATTCAGATTATAAGTATCCCCTGCTTTTGAAAAGTTTGTATTATGACACTTTGTTTTTATAAAAGACTTATATTTCATTATTGGTCTGTTTGGATTTTCTACATCATGATTCAGTCTTGATAAGTTGTGTGTTTCTAGGAATATATACATTCATTTAGGTTGTCCAATTTATTATTATTCACACTACTGTTATTAACCTTTGTATTCTGTACTTAATTGTAAAGTCTCCTCTTTTACTTATAACTATTTCTTTGAGACCTTTCTATTTTTTCCTTAGTAAGCCTACCTAAAGGTTTGTCAATTTTACCTTTGTAAAAAATCAACTCTTAGTTTCATTAATCTTTTCTGTTGTTCTCCTATTCTCTATTTCATCTACTAATCCATATTAGTTCCTTTCTTCAACTAACTAGTTTATTCTTATTTTTCTAGTTCTTTGATATATAATGTTATGTCATTTGAGATTTTTTTTTAATATTAGGGATATATAGCTATAACTTTTCCTCTTAGGGAAGCTTTGGTTTATTACAGTTTGGTGTATTTTATTTTCATTTTCACTTTTCTCAAGATCTTTGATTTTCCATTTCTTTTATTTTCGATCCATTGGTAGCTTAGTTGTTTCTTGTTTAATTTCTGTGTATTTGTGAATTTTACTCCTCTTTTACTCTAAGATTTCTAATTCCATGCCATTGTGTTTGGAAAAGATACTTAATACAGTTTCTGTCTTCTTGAATTTGTTGAGACATGTTTTGTGGCCTTTCATATGACCTACCCTGGACAATGTTCTGTGTGCACCAGCGAAGAAGGAGTATTCAACTTCTCTTCAATGGAATGTTCTATCTAAATCTGCTAAAACTTTTTTATCTATAGTGTTGTTTAAATCTGCTGTTTCCTTATTGATTTTCTGTCTGGTGATTTTTCCATTGTTGTGAATTGGGTATTAAAGTCCTGTGCTATTATTGTTATTTATTTCTTCTTTCAGTTCTGTTAGTATTAACTTTATACATTTAAGTGCACCAACATTAGGTGAATAAATATAATCAGGGGCACCTGAGTGGCTCAGTCATTAAGCCTCTGCCCTTGGGTCCTTGGATCAAGCCCTGCATCGGGTTCCCTGCTCAGCTGGAGGCCTGCTTCTCTTTCTCTCACTCCCCCTGCCTGTGTTCCCTCTCTTACTATCTCCCTCTCTATCAAATAAATAAATAAAATTGTAAATAAATACTTACATTGGATCTTATATTTTATAGATCCAGGCATTCTATTTCTTGATTAGAGAATTTAATACATATACATTTAAAATAATTATTAATCGACAAGGCTTTATTATTGCCATTTTGTTAATTTTTTATTGACTGTTTTGCAGTTCCTTACTTCCTCTCTTGCTGTCTTCCTTTTAACTTCTTGTGGTGATAGAGTTTGATTCCTTTACCTCAACCTTTCTTGTATCTACTACAGGTTTTTCCTTTGTGGTTACCATGAGGTTTACACAAAATACCTTATAATTATAACATCTTATTTTTAAGCTGATAACAATCTACCTTTATTAGCATACAGAAACTCTACACTTTTACTTCTCTCTCCACTCATATTTTAGGTTATTGATGTAGTTTATATTTTTTATATTGTATATCTATTAACAAATTATTGTAGTTAATAATACATAGCCAAAATAATAGACTAGTCAAATAATAGGCAGAAAACTTCCATCTGAGAACATTTTTAGAGTCCCTTTCTAAGCTTGTCTTAATGTGATTACATGAATGAATGTATATTTGCATAATGGCCTCTTTTCTACTGCTATTATCCTGTCCCTCTCCCATTTCCCCCTCCATGGAATGACTTTTGTTAGCCTCTGCAATTCCCAGACTCACTCCTGTTGGCAGAAAAATAAGCAACTTTAGGAAAATTTTTCTTCAAAGTATGATATAAATGTATCAAAAAGACACCAGGTAAATCTCAAGAGAATGAATCATTCTCATTAGTTTATGAAATGTTTACTGCCTTTGTACATAAGTATCACTACCATGAACTGAGTGCTTTGTTTTTATATCTCATCTATGTCTCTCTTATGTCACAGCAGTGCAAAACTAGAAACTGTATGGCCCACAAATCATACAATTTTACTAACTGGTACTTAGTGAAAAAGTTTGCTAACCCCTGGGATACACTATCAGTAGACCTGAGTTTCCATATTTATATTCTCAGTGTTCGTTTCCTCACTATACAGGAAAGCCAAGAGCATATTTATTGGGATTTTGTAATGGCAGCATCCTTACTTTGAGTACCAAGTTCTCTGTTGATTAAATCACTATTAACTGCTGGCTTAATGTAGTCAGTTGTGTTACAAAGACCTTATCATAATTACATTTCCTTTGGATCAAGTAAGGAACAAAGTAGGTATTCTTTTTTTTTTTTTTTTAAGATTTTATTTATTTATTTGACAGATAGAGATCACAAGTAGGCAGGGAGGCAGGCAGAGAGAGAGAGGAGGAGGCAGGTTCCCTGCTGAGCAGACAGCCTGATGTGGGGCTCGATCCCCGGACACTGGGACCATGACCTGAGCCGAAGGCAGAGGCTTTAACCCACTGAGCCACCCAGGCGCACCCAAAGTAGGTATTCTTGATCACACTATAAGCCATGATTCAAGAACCTATGCTCTTTTCAGTTTGTAGCTCAGTCATTTTTAGCATGTTTTCCAAGGTGGTGAAAGAAAAGAAAAAAATCATGGAGGACAGTGCATGGTACATACCTGTAGAGCTGGCAATCATTTTTACTCAGATTTCATTGGTCAAAATTCAGTCCTGTGCCACAATTAACTGTACAAGGGAGACTGAAAAATATAGATTAATCATGTCCTGAAGAAATAGGAAATAGTTTTGTTGAAAAGTCAGCCAGTCTCTGACACAGAGACCTTCTGCACAGAGAATTTATAGGGCTTCATATTTAATAAGATGTTGTGCAGTAAAAGAAAAAAATAAAATGGGGCACCTGAGTGGCTCAGTAGGTTAAGTGTCTGCCTTTGGCTCAGGTCATGATCCCAGGTTTCTGGGATTGAGCCTTGCATCAGGCTTCCTGCTCAGCAGAGAGTCTGCTTCTCCCTTTCCTTCTGCCTGCCACTCTGCCTACTTGTGCTATCTCTCTGTCAAATAAATTAATAAAATCTTTAAAAAAAAAAAAGAAAGAAAGAAAAAATATCTTCTAAACTTTTAACATGGAAAACCATTTAAATGGTTATGAATCTATGGGAGTTTGGGAATATAAGACAAATAAGATTGGGGAGGGATGAAATAACAAAAACAGTGAATTCCATTTTAACATATGATTTTAACCCACTGAGCCACCCAGAAGCCCCTTTAACATATGATTTTAAAGGTACTTTAATGCCTTCCAAGTCTGGCATGCATTTGGAAATATAGGAAACATACTAAGTCTAAAGATAGAAGAGATACAAATTTTTGATTCTTCAAAACAGTAAGTGGCAGTAAGGTCATTAGATTGACCTGGGATAGAACTTAAATAGAAAAAGAGAGTTATAAACAAAAAAAGCATTGTGTGTAATATAATATCTGCCTTAGTACAAAGTAATAGAAACACAGAGATGAGTAAAATGTTTTTTCTTTAAGAAGCTAACAGTTGGGTAGACAGAAATAATCAAGGATGTTATTGATAACCTGTTATGCGATAAAGGTTATGAAAGATAAATAGTATGGCATAGGAGAATAAAGGAAGGTCAACAAAACTTCAGTACAGTTACTGATTCAATAAATAAATTATATCCAAATATATCAGGCAAAATTCTATTTCTTGATGATATCTGTCTCTCCTCAAATCTTATATAAATAGATGACAATTCCTCCTATAGCTAAAGAGAGAAGACTTCTGCCTCATCACTACACATTTACCTTTATGAAGTGCTTACTGTATAGAAGGCATTGTGTTGCTTTATGTGTTTTTTTTTCCCTCAGTGAAGTTTCATAATGATACTATATGACATGTGTTATTCTTCTCATTAAATTCCCCAAAGATATGTATTATTTCCAAATATGGAGTGGAAAACTAGGATACAATAGAGATTATCTAACTTGTTATAGGAAACTATATCTGTCATGTTTTTTTACCACCTTACACTATCTCTGTTTTTTGAAGAATAATTAGAAATACCAGTATGAATTACTCAATTAGTTATTTGCAAAACAGGAAACTGAGAGCTGGTGACATGGAATTAAATAGACAGCTATTATTTAACAAAATTAGGAAAACACTACAAACATTTTTTTAGCAGTCCAGCATAGAGGCATAACTGAATAAGTGCTATTTCAAAATACTAGATTTTTGAAAATTTACCATAGACTAAGAAAATTAGAGAATTTTAAAAACACTTAAAAACTTGCATATATAACTGATAAGTATAAGGAGAGATTTTGAGTGGCATTAGTTACACTGTATTAAGTGAGCATGTCATAATAATAGACATTTATTTTTCTAGATAAATGAAAAAACTATTGAAAATTAACTTACACTTTACAAAGGAACTTTATATCTCCTTTATATCTTTCTTCTAATTTTATACCATGAATATGTATTAAATAGACTTAACATTAATATGTCTACTATTTCTGTATACTTTATAATCACAATTATATAATTATATGTCTTCTGCTTTCTCTACTCTCTTCCCCCAAATGTATGCAAAAGGCAAATACATCAAAAGTAAATATACAAAATCTTATAATCACCAAGGAAGCCAAAAGGAATGCTTAATTTCCAGTTTATGTTTGACATTTTCTGTATTTTTATAAGGATATGAATCACTGATATAATGGTGAAGATTTTATTTTGAAATAAGAAACTCAGAAATTATTTTAACAAAATAAATGGGAAATATAATTAAATATATGAAAGTACGTAATGAAACTAATCAAGGTACACAGTGTCTTAATAAAAGTCAACAGCTGGGGCAGAAATTACTATGCTAAGATTGCCAGAGAAACTGAAAATAGCTTTAGGGTAACTATCCTTGGAATATGAAGCAATACAATTAATGCCTTTGCATTATTTCCTGCAATAAATTAAATAAGTTTTAAATGTTCCTTGGACATCTGGAAATATAAGGAACCTTTTGGGGGTGTCATGTTAACTTGATTCAAATTAAATTATGATCAACAAGAGAAACAGTTTAATTATTGTTTATATTTTAGAAGATTTATATACAAATCCATCTTGTTACATAGAGTATTTCTTCTTTCATAGCATTATTTCAAAGTCCTTCAACTAAACATATTAGCCATAATTCAAAAGGACCACAGATGTAACCTGGCATTGGTTCATTTTGTCACTCCTCTGGGAACTTGAAAGATGAAATTCGTTTTCATAATTGCAGCTTTTGTTTGAGCATCTTCAAATCTTTCACAAGCTTTTTGAAAGGCAATCATATCAAAAACAAATTTTTCTTTACAGTGTTTTTTGTATGTTTCTTGAGCCCTAAAAAGAAAAAAAGTAAAGTAATAGAATGAGATACTTTTAAAAAACAAAAAGTGTAACAATTATTCAGATTATAAATGGTAAGTAGATGCTTTTAAAACAGACATACAAGTGGGAAAAAATTAGAACTTTACTTATTGCATAGAATTTTATTAGATCAATAATACCTATAATTTATGTAATAAATAAATACCTATAATTTAATAATATTTATATTATTTTTAATATTTCTAAGATTTCTATTGGTTGTAACAGAATTTTCATAAATCCTGGTTTAGATTCCCAACAAAGCATCTAAACCAGGCTATGCTAAGATTTTCAGAATTTTGGGGGCTCCTGGGTAGCTCAGTTGGTTAAGTGTCTGCCTTTGGCTTAGGTCATTAAACACAGGGGCCTGTGATTGACCCCTTCATCAGTATCCCTGTTCAGTGGGGAGTCTGCTTTTCTCTCTCCCTCTGTCTCTCCCCTCTGCTTGTGTGTGCATGTTCTCTCTCTCTCAAATAAGTAAAATCTTTTATTTTTTTAAAGACTGTATTTATTTATTTGACAGACCGCACATACAGGGGGAGGGGCAGGCAAAGGGAGAAGGAGGCTCTCTTCTGAGCAAGGAGCCCAGACACTAGGGACTCCATTCCAGGACCCTGGTATCATGACCTGAGCAGAAGGCAGACACTTAACCAACTGAACCACCCAGACATCCCTAAATAAAATCTTAAAAAAAAAAAAAAAAAAAGATTTGCAGAACATTTATTTTAAGCCTCACTATATCCAAGTTTTTTCTAGGATGCTGTTATGGACTGAACTGTGTTCCCACTTCCAACCCCAAAATTCATATTGAAGTCTTAAACTCCAGTACCTTCGAATGTTACTGTATTTGGAGATAGGGTCTTTAAGAGGTAATTAATTTTAAATGTTATCATGCAGATGATATGAGTGGTGCCCTTATTAAAAAGATGAGGAGACACTAAGGATATGAACACATAGAACAAACACCATATTACAACATAATGAGAAGGCAGCCAGGGAAAAAAGTTCTCAAACCTGAGAAACCAAATTTGACATACCTTGATCTTGGACTTCTAGCCTTCAAAACTGTAAGAAAATAAATTTATGTTGTTTAAGCCATTCAGTCTGTGGTATTTTGTTATGGCAGCACCAGCAGACTACTATGGACTCTAAGTTGGGAAAAGGTAAATGAGGTTACCCTGTCAAAACTAGAAAATGTCCTAGTCCTTACAGGACTTCACTCAGTCATCCTCATTCATACAATAAGTATGTATTATAATGCCCCTAGATGCTGGAACCATAAAGATAAATACGACATAACTATGAGAGGTTTATAGAAAGTAGAGAAATAATGAACACATAAATAATATTTTAGTGGCATAATTAAAGCACTATGTAACAATGAAAGGAAGGCATAATAAAAAAATTAGTAAATATTATCTGAAGAAGGGGGTATGGCAAGACAAAAAAAGACCAGATTTGAAATAATCCTTGAACTTAGTCTTGAAAGATGTGTATTTTTCAGGCAGAAAGTATAAGGGAAGAACATTTCGCTCATGTATGTTTGTTTAAATAAGCATGAACAACTAAAATAAAGGCAAAGATAATAGCATAGCTTGGCATGCTCTAAGAAGTGACAACACTCTAATTTCTGAGACAGTGGAACAGATAACTCTGAAGAAACAGACTTTCAGCAGATCATAGAACTCTTGATTTATATTTACATATACTCGGAAATCCGGACCTAGGGCCAGATTTGGAAATTGGAAAACAAAACTAAGAAACAATTCCATTTACAATAGCATCAAAAAAATAAAAACAAATACTTAGGTATAAGTTTAACAAAAGATATACAAGACTTATGAGTCAAAATAATAAACTATTTTTGAAAATTAAAGAAGATCTAAATTAATGGAAAGTTCCACCATTTCAAAGACTGGGAGACAATATTATCTAGATGTTAATTATCCCCAAATTTATCTATATATGCAATGAAACCCCAATGAATATGCTAAGAGTCTTTTTGGTAGAAATTAACTTTTAAATTTGTTTTACATTTATAGAAGATCAAATTTAGATTAAGATTATATTAAGATAATAAGATTAAGATGAATAAATATTAAACTTAGGTATTTTGAATTTATTAAAATTTCAATTCTATGTCAATGCAAAGGTCTGATATTAACCAAAGCAATCTTGGGAAAGGAAAAACAAAGTTAGAGTTTGTATTTTCTTGTTGCTGTGTAGCATATTTACTGTAAAGGTATTGGCTTGTAAGAACAACCACTTTATTATTTCACAGTTTTCATGGGTCAAAAGTCCAGGCACAGCATGGATTAGCTAGCTGGGTTTATTGCTTTTGTTCTCACAAGGCTGAAATTAAGATGTCAGCCGGTGCTGTGGTTCTTTCTTTCTTTCTTTCTTTCTTTCTTTCTTTCTTTCTTTCTTTCTTTCTTTTTTTTTTTTTTTAAGATTTATTTATTCATTTTAGAGAGAGAGTGCACAGTGGAGCAGAGGGAAACTTTAGCAGACTCCTCACAGAGTTGGGAGTCTGATGCAGGCTCAGTATCAAGACCCAGATACCATGACCTAAACCAAAACCACGAGTCAGTCACTCAAATGACTGTGCCACCCAGGGGCCTCATGGCTGTGATTCTCATCCAGGATGTGAGGTCCTATTTCCCAGATTCTTGGTTGTTGTCAGAATTCATCTCCTTCTCATTCTCTCCACATAGTCTCTTTCATCTTCAAGGCAGCCATGTCATATCAAATCCTCCCACTTTGAATTTCTCTGCCTTTCTTTTCTATTACTACATGTAAAGGCTCATGTGATGCATTGGGCCTGCCTGGATAATCCAAGATAATTTCTCTATTTTAAGATCCATGAATTAGTACCCTTAATTACATGTTCAGAGTTCTTGTTGCCATGTATGTACTGTTATGGGTAAGAGGAAAAAGAGTAACCAACTGAGGCAGAAGCTAAAGTTGGAAGCCATACAATTAATATTAGTGTAAATTTACAAGATAGTGATTTCTTTTAGTCATTTTAACCTGAACGCAAGGCATAGAAATAGTTGGATTATTCCAAGGTAGGAGCTGGGGTGGTTAGCATTGTGGAGGCAATGAAAGGAAAGAACTTAAGAGACACTGAATGAAATGGAGAAAAGAATAACTGGTATGAAGAACCCTGGAGGACATAGTAGAAATGAAAAGAAAAGAAACATTTAAAGAAGTTTACTTGAGGCTCAAGAGTCATAATATATTTGAATAATTCATGTGGTGAAATAAAAGAAGACAAGAATTGAAAAGATAAAATATTTTATTCATAAATAAGTATACAAGGATTTAAGATTTATGAGGTAGGGCAGTTCCAAGTGATGAAGAAGCCTTTATGTGTCTATGAAAATGAGTTTAAAGGTTGTTGAGATCCAAAAGTATTGGGCAATTGGGAGGGCTGTTCTTATGAATTTGGAAGTTCACTGTGATTACAGCTGAAATTGGATGGAGAAAAGCTTTATAAATCAGGATATAAACACCATAGTGAATAAAGAGAGTAGTCTAGGAGGTAACTGATGACCAAATTAAGGACAAGCAGAAGTTGATATAATTAGATAAAGTGCCTTATGTGCCAGATTTTCCATGCTAATTGGTACTTTATTGCAAAGTGGACACCCTGCTGTTCTGCCCTGAGAACTTTCATCAGAGTATGAATAGAATATTTTGGAAATTTCATGACCAGCTTTTACCTGAGATATATATTTTTTCTCATTTCAAAGTCTCTTTTTTTATTCATTCTTAAATACCCTTGCAGGTAGTTTATCAACTTTCTAAACTAGAGCTTTATGGTTCCTCTTTCTTTTTTCATGCTTCCTCATTCCATAGCAGGATCAGGAACTAAATTCTCAGTAATGACTTCCCTAGCTATTGAGATTCATCAGAATGCTTTTAGGTCAAGTGTTTGATACATTAATGAAGAATCAACCAGGAGAAAAAAAAATGAAAAATTGCTGAGGTCTCTGGCCAGACCTTACTTTTTTGACTCACTGCTCTCTTCTGCATGTTGATACAAAATCTTTACTTGAAAACATTTATAATAAAATTCAGTAATGTCTTTTAGGATATGTTACCTGCATAGCCAGAATATTGCCTTATTCCTGTGTGTTTTCAAGGAGATGGATAATATCTTTGCAACAGCTTGCAAGAGAAGATAATTCAGTTAAGATACATTAGGAAACTCATTTGACTCTGTATCCTCTACAAATTAATGATGGCCAGGCATTCAATTTGCTGTGATAAAACTAAGCTGATTGAATCTCTCTAACTTTGATTTGCACTAGATTTGTATTTTGATATACTAGACTAGCTTTCATTCTCTTTTCCAAAATATATACTAAATTATAGAAAAATTATTTCCAAAAACCATACACACACACACACACACACACACACACACAAACACAGAGTATACATTAAGGAAGATGTTTTTAAATTTTGGAGGAGAAATATATAAAATATTTTCATACTTAAAAAGATATTATATAAAGAATTTCAGTAAATAGTTTAAAAAATTGCTTTTAACTAGGAAAAGGCAAATGCTTTCTTATTACTTTATGTTCTTTTCTAGTACAAACTACTTTTTAATGATAGCATTTAAAATTATAAATGATTTATTTATTTTATAATTCAAAGCTGTACCTTTTAATCCACTTCACCTATTTCACCCCTCTCCCTACCCACTTCCCCTCGGGCATACAGAGATGAAAAGTATAGCATCAGGAATATAAGCAATACTATTGTAATAATGTTGTATGGTGACAGACGGTAACTACACTTACGGTGGTGAGCACTCAGTAATGCATAGCATTGTCAAATCATTATGTTGTATATCTGAAATTAATGTAATACTATATGTAAACTATACTTCAGCAATCAGCTTTTAAAAATGTAGATGAAATAAGCAGCAATATGGATCACTAAGTATTTCTAGGCAAGCCTTAGGCATATGTATTTACACTGTTTGGATAGTTAAAAATGGCACCAGGATAAAACTGTGACTTGAAAAGCTCCAATCTAATATCAGACAAAATTGTGTAAAAGACTTTGAAAGAGTAAAAAACAATTACTGGGATCCTTTCTAGTGCACCCTTCAGAGTTATCTGTGTCTTTCAATCTCATTGATCTATTCTATAACCATATAAGTTTAAGAAAGCTATGAGTAATACAAATGATTCTTGCCTATAAAAGTATAAGCAAAATAGTCCAGTGGAGTTATAATTATCACTGGTGGATAATGACTAAATTTATTTTGGCATTCCTGATTGCCTTTATATATACATGCTCCTAGAATTTGGCATTCCTGATTGCCTTTATATATACATGCTCCTAGTCATTTGAATTGGCTAAAACATCTTATTGGTTCCTTAATTAGTTAAATAAAATCTTTGATGTGTTCATTTTATAGTATAAGTTACAGTTTATGCTCTAAAAAATATCCTTTGTAAAGAAGTTTTAGTATATATACAATGGAATATCATTTATACATAAAAAGAGGGAAATTGTGTTATTTACAATAACTTGGATGGACCCTGAAGGCACTATACTAAGTGAAATAAGTTAGACAGAAAGACAAATATTATATGATCCCACCTATGCATGGAATCTAAACAAACTGAACTTAAAGATAACAGAGAACAGATTGGTGCTTGCCTGAGGTGGGAAATAAGGAGTAGGTAAAATGGGTAAGGAGGTCAAAAGACACAAAGTTCCAGTTATAAAATAAGTCATGGAATGTAATATATAGCATGGTGACTATAGTTAGGTTGGAGAGGGGGCAGAGGCAGTGTGGACAGGGCAGGAAGGAGCTAGGGCCATGTGTCTGTGATGCGTGGGCGTGAGTGGGTGGCCAGAGGTGATGGGTGGCTGACGGGGCTTTGTGGTTGAGTGGGGGTGAGCTGGAGAGGACTGGCGGGTGAGTCAGAGTCGGGTGTATTTAAAATTTGTGTATTTAAAATTTGCTGAGAGACTAAATCTTGAAAGTCCTCATCACAAAGAAAATAATTGTAATTATGTGTGGTAACAGATAGGCTTATTGTAATCATTTTACCATATACAGAACTATTAAAACATTATGTTGTACACTTGAAACTAATATAATGGTATATATCAATTATACTCTCCATAAAAAAAATCCTTTGACAACTAATACAGTTTAAATTTATTAAATATAGCTTAATATATTTTGAGTCAATATTAATTTTCAGAGCCTTTGCACTAAGTTTAGTTTAAAATTTAAAAATCATCATGAAACAATTTTTAAAAATTTTTGAATTTGTTTGAGAGAGCTTTGTCCCAAGTGTATTCTGAGGATTAGCATTCTGAGAGATTTCTTGAAATGCAGTTTCTGTGGTAAAATGCATGTTTAAAATAAGTTTTATTTTTTTAAGTAGGATTCCTAATGGTCTTTACCATGTGACTGTCCACTGAAATTACAGTCCCTTTCTAAGCTAATTTAATGTTTCTTAAGCAACTGCACTTTAATCATCCCTCTTCAAAAATCTCTGCTATGAGTAGAGCAATATTCACTACCCCCTCCTCTCCCCACTATGTTACCTATTCTGAACTCTTCAATTTTGCTCATCCACTTTGCCAATTATGATTTCCCCCAGCACTTTGCTTTTCCAAATTCAAATTGACAACTGTAATTTCCTACTTCTATTTTTTGTAATGATTCAAGTATATGCTTATATCTGCCACTGAACGGTGACTTCTTAGAGGATCAAAAATATGTTATTAATTTTTATATGGGGGTGTTGGGGAGAATTGAAATGAATTAACGCTTTGATATTTAGTTATGCTTTCTCTTTGAAGGTGTCCTAGATTACTCTCATCTATTTATTACCTACCATTTAACTAGAAATTTTAATTTTGTCTTGAAGTTCTTATATTATGTTTGTATTATTATTTAACTCTGGTAGTCTTATTGCCTGGTGACTTATCTCCCACCTAGATTTTCAGTTTATTGGTGTTAAATAATCTTTATGTCCCCATATCACTTTGACATCTTCAATAGCTGAAAATGAATTACCATTTGAATGATTTGAATGGAAGGTGTTCCCTAGTAGAAATGCCAATGATCACAGAGAGGTAGAAAAAAAAAAGTGTAGGAAAAATTCATTGTCATGAAATAAGCACTTATTTTAACATAGATACCTATTCTAATAACTAGTGAAGCTATTTTCAAAATTTGGTTAATTATATTTTTAGTATATATTTAATAATTCTGGTTATATATCTTCACTACACATTCTGAAAAAATACACATTATTTCTCATTCCAATGGCTGAAGTATTAAGCACACTAATATACACCTGTATACATACATATATATGCATACATTATACATGTATTATAGATATAGATACATATATAGAGATATAGATACACACACACACACACACACACACACACACACACACACATATACATATTATTCGTTTGCCCCAGGGATCTAGCATTTGACTTCAATGGACTTACATGCAACCATTACTAATTCAAAAACCTTTTTTTATCCTATTTTTCTCAATAAATAATTACTGAATAGATTTTGGAAACTACTGTACTAGTTTACAAACTAGTTAGGAAACTACTGTACTAGAAATGAAAAGATAGACCAAATTATTTTATAAAGGTCTTTACAAGCTAAACTGATAAAGGTCATCTCATGGTAACTGCTACAACTGAGCTCTAAATCAAGTACTATAGGAGAACCACCAAATGAAAGGAATTAATTCAGACCGGAAGAACAGTTGTGGAAAGGTAAAAAGTACAGGTATCATTTCAGTTGATTACTAAAGGATAAATAATAAAAGGATGAATTTTGTCAGTGGTTATACAGTTCATACACTGCATGACAGGGGCAAATAGGGGACAAATAGAAATACAGTCACACTCAGCCAAGCATCAGCCACTAGTGATGTGTTTCCCTGGAGAAATACGTGCCTTGTCCTTCTCATACAGGCACTAACCCCTCACCAATTTGAACACTCCAAATCTTTCTAATTTGCACAATAATAATAGAGGCTTGTTTTGCATAATAATATGTAGATAGCACTAACATTATGGGCTTGTAGTATTCTTTCGAAGTTCATATTTTAAGAAAAAGGGGATAGAACTAGTAAGGTCACTGGAATAAGAAACTACAAATTTGGGTAGGGAATTGGGAATAATTTAGTCTTTATGGAGCAAATAGTGCTGTTAGGGGAAGAGGGAAAGGCTATAGCAGAAAATTTGGTGAGACCAGTCTAGTTAAATTGGAACAAAGTATGATGTCTGAAATGCTATTCAGATTTTATTCTGTTGGACAATGGCAAAGCATCAATATACTTAAGTAGGAGGTAACATGATCAGAACTTAATTTTAAAAGACAGTTGTGGGCAGGTGCCTGGATGGCTCAGTCAGTTAAGTCTCTGCCTTAAGCTCAGGTCATGATCTTATGGTCCTGGTCCTGGGGTCCAGCCCCTGGTCAGGCTTCCTGCTTAGCAGGGAGTCTGCTTCTCCCTCTCCTTCTTCCCAATACCCTCCCGCAAGCTCTGTCTGTCTCTCTCAAATAAATAAATAAAATATTTAAAAAATAAAAGACAGTTGAAGCTTGGCTAGAGAACAGATTTGGGTTGAAGAAAGGATATCTTGAGAATGCAGATGGAACTCTCAATTTGAAGGATAAATTGTGAATCTTAGAATGACTCTGAGTCTGCATTAGAATGGGAGAAGTGGGATTGAAAAGGATCAGTTTGAGACTCCTTTTAAAAGTAAAATGAATAAGGAAACCTATTAGATGTTGACAATGAGAGAGACTGAGTTGTAAAAGACTGGTTTCTAGCAATGGTCAAGAGGCTAATGATGATTGTCATTTAAAAGAACAACCATTCATTGAGAAGCAGGTTTTGTTGGTTGGGGGTGGAGGTAGGATGAGATGGAGTTGTTTTATTGTCTCATCTTTGGTAATATATAAGAACATTTTGTGCTTTTTTGTTGTCTCTATTTTTCAAAGAGAATTTTATAAACAAAGTACTGTTTATTAGGTCCCAATACTTAGTATACAATATTAACATGTAATTGAATTAAAAGCCTCTATAATATCAAAACTGTACTTACTTGATTTCCTTCATTTGTTTTAATAAATTCTTTTGATATTTTTCCATCTCTAGTCTTTGCTGAACAATCAGACATTTTTCTTGTAAGACAGCTTGATTCTTCCTCAATCTGTCCATTTTAATAATTCCTTTGGATAAAAAAGTGCGCTCATTACTTATGTTTTGAATTAATAAACGGTCTTCAGCCTTTTGTTTTTTTTCTGCTAGAAACATAGCTCTTCTCTCTCTAACTTTCTTGAGGTAATTGAATCTGTCCTGCCAAAGTTGTAGTAAACCATTCTGAATTGTCTCGTTATCTTTTGCAATTAGTTTTTGTGCAGCATTTTTTTTCTTATTTAGGTTTTCTTGAACAGTTGAGCGAACTCTTTCTTGGGCACTTTGTGCAATGGTGATAGCTGCTATTCTTTTCTTATGGCTTTCCTGCTTCTTTTGCTCTGAGTAATATTTATCAATATCCCGAAGTGTTTGGAGTTTTATACCAGTTCTGTGTGCTGTAAAAAACTCTTTTCTTGCATTACTCTTCAACAGCATGTCTTTTTTATTAATTGCTGGTTTTTGATGAGTAGTAGGAAACGGCTGGACATATGTAGGAAAATAATAGTTTTCTTTCAATAATGCTGCATACTTCAGTGAATCTGAAGTATGTATGGGTAGTTTGAACACTGATATCCTAAAACTGGCATCCAATTCTTCATTCTCACTTTCATCTTCAGACTCCTTCTGACCTACATCATATGGAAGACAAATATAATACATTTCACAAATGCTAAGCAGTTTATTTTCTGCCCCTATTGTTTTGAAAGCTACATTAATAAAGTTGACAACAACATGTTATTGACTTTATTAAGGAGCATTTTTCCCCACTGATGTTCTTTGTAAACTTGTGTTTTAATAGTGATTTCGGTGAGAGAAATCACTATTGAAACCATTTAACACAAAAATGCACTGATTCCTGTATTTTCTGCATTATCTCTCACAATCACTTAACTGGCAATGACTGAATAGCAGTATCTCTTATCTTACACTTGGTACTTAATGGTGCATATTATTTTTACACTTAGTTATTATTAGCTCATACTTGCAAAGGACTTTGTAATCCATTTTACCTTATTTGTCTTAACTGGTAGAAATGAATAGCTACCATCATAATTGTTTTTTCTCTTGTTGGACACACAAATCCCTCAACCTCCTTTGCTATTATGTATAGTAATGAGACTAAGTCCTCTCTAGTAAAGTGTGAACAGAAGTAATGTGTGTCATTTCTGGTCTAAGGAAACGAATATGTTTTCTCTATATTTTCTTTCTTCTTCTGACTCACTAGACAGAGATAAGGATAAGGCCCTAGAAGATGGTGAATGCACAGTGTGGAAGGATCCTGGCTCCCTGAATCACAGCTTGAAAAACTATGTACTCACCAGGATTAATCAAACTTGGACTCTTATAGAAGCCAGAAATAAATGGCAATTATGTTTGAGTCAATATATATTTCTGGGTCTATTTATTATTATAGCCAACCTAACTAATATAATAACTTGAATCACATCATTGTTCATATATTTATTTTCTGACAAACCTAGTTATGAATATAGGATCAGTGGCAAATACAATAACAAAAGTTATGCTTATTAGTCTTAGGAAAAGATGTTTCCCATATTTAACTAATTCCCTCTACCAAAATTACATCTCTACTAACTATGGTCTACAACAGTTTTGTTTTTTCTAATAGAAAATTATCTTAAAATCTTTATATGTCAAATGCAAATCCACCGGTAGAGATTTTATGGAAGTTGAAGTGACCATAAAGAAGGGTAGAACTTAGGTGGCAGCAGGGAAGAAGCAAATAGGCATGATTTTCACTAGGGGCCATAAGAATATTAACATTAGAAAAGGGAGCAATCTAAAGCGAAGTAGAAAATCAAGTCTAGCAAGTATAAAAGGTAATATACCAGGATACAAAGTCAAAGCTCTTGAAAAGGCTATTAAAAGTTTGGGTCCAAAGCAAGGCACTAGACACAGAGGAACAAAATACAGAATTTCAGTTCTAGAGTTCTAGAGTAAATAGAATATGGTCTGGGGAACCACCTAGAAAAAGTATTCTTTTGCGTTATTTGATTTTATGTATAAATCTTGGCATGAGAAAGCTGGCCAAGAATAAAAAGATCAGGGACAGAAAACACAACTTTAATAAGTTACTGAAGATTCTGGTCATCGATTTCAATTCATATGGGAGATTGGGATTTTTTTCCCCATACCACCAAGCAATGCTCCAACACCAGCCAGGTGTCCTGCAATTCAAATTAATTCTGACATTCTGTCTACCTGGAGATAGGGTCACCTCCCATAGGTTAAAGTTTCAGTCCTACAAAATTGTCCCTACCCCCTTCAGATGCCAATCACAAGTCCAAGTTATCACCTGAGCTCTGACAAACTGGTTATAGATTAGAGGTTCCACTAACCCCCACCTGGGTTCAATTTGCTAGAGTGGCTCACAGAACTCAGAGAAACATTTTACATTTTACTTACTAGATTACCATTTTTTTATAGAAGGATATAACTCACGAGCTGCCAGACAGAAGAGATGCATAGGGCAAGGTACAGGGAAAGGGAACAAAACTTCCATGCTGTCTCTCCAAGCACACCACTCTGCCCAAATCTCCACGTGCTCACCAACATACAAGTTCTTAGAACCCAGTCCTTCTGTTTTTTTATGGAGGCTTCATTACATAGGAATGATTGAGTATACCATTGACAATTAGAATCAAATTCAATTTCCATCTCCTCACCACTTTCCAGAGGTTGAGGGTGGGACCAAACTTTCCAACGCTCTAACCATGGGGCTGGTTCCCCTGGCAACCAGTCTTAGGTGTTGAGCCAAAAATCAGCTAACATAACAAGACATTTGTGTTGCTCTTCTCTCATCACTTAGAAAATTCCAAGCATTTTAGGAGTTCTATGCTAGAACCAAAGACAAAGACCAAATATATTTTTCTTGTTATGAATCACAGTATCACAGTTACCAACATACATCAATTTGCTCTTTAATAGCTTAATGCAGTGAATCATGAGACTGAAAGTTCTTTGAAAATAGAAGCCATACTTTATAGTAACTACATATATACTAACTACATTTATACTAACTAGCGTCTACTAACTACATTTACTTTGTAGATGATGATTGAGATGTCTCTCATTGGCTGATTGAACATAATCCCATTAACAGTTTTCCAAAGTTTCCCAGTTTCAAGGTTCCCGGGTATCTCAGTCAGTTAAATGTCAGACTTTGGATTTCAGTTCAGGTCATGATCTTAGGGTCATGAGATCAAGCCCCACAAGTGGCTGCACAGTGGGCATGAAGTCTGCTGGAGATTCTCTCTCCCTCTGCCCCTCCCGCCCTCCTGTTAGCATGCACCCATAAGCTGTCTCTGTTAAAAAAAAAAAAAAAAAAAAGTCTCCAATTTCATTCTCTGCTTCCAGACATTGCTCAGTGCTATAAAATACATCTTCCTAAAAGAGGATTCTAATCATATCATGCCATCCACCCAAAGGGAAATAAAACCTTCATGGTTCTCCACTTACAGAATGAAGGATAGTTCACTTTTAATCCTAGGATCCTTCATCATAGGGAAAGAGCTTCATTTTTTCCCCTATACATAACAACATCTTCCCATCTTTGGCACTTTGCTTATATTATTCTATGCTTTGTCCAGTATGTTGTTTTCCCTATCTGCATATGTGCTTAAATTCTATCCATTATTTAAGGCCTCTTCACATTCTTAGTCTTATTCTTTACATAAAGAATTGATATATTTTATTAACTGTGATATCAATCCCCTCCTCATAGACTTTATCACAATCTGGGATGCCTGGGTGCCTCTGTCAGTTAAGCATCTGCCTTTGGCTTAGGTCATGATCTCAGGGTCCTGGGGTCAAACCCCATGGGCTCCCTGTTCAGTGGGGAGTCTGCTTCTGCCTCTACCTTCCTGCCACCACCTGTGATCTCTGACTCTCTCTCAAATAAATAAAATCTTTAAAAACAAAAAACCTTATCACAATCCATTTATATTAAAGCTCTATGTAGAAATTCTTAGACATAGTATCAAGCTAGATATAAGCTCCTTAGGAGTAGGATTCATGTTTTCTTTGATCCTCCATTCCTAGCCGTTAGCCTAGTATTTTGCAGAGAGGAGGGTCTTTTCTGCAGGGGTGGGGTATGGAGTAAACCAAATAGTAGATGCCAAAAAGCACATGTGTTGGATGAATGAATAGATGAAATAATCTTGTTGCTCAAGAGTAATTTGTCTTTTATAGTGGTAGAAGTCTAAAATTTGGAGACAGGCAGGCTGGATTTGAATCCTATTTTTACCACTTACGTGGCCTAGGCAAGTTATTTAATTCTCTGTGCTTCAGTATACTCACTGTAAGATGGATATAATAATATCCAATTTGTAGGGTTCATACAGGATTAAATGACTTAATGAAATGTAAAATGCCTGATGAAACTTGATATTTATGTATTAGAACAATGCCTTATAATGAGTAAGAGCCACATGTTAGTTATTATTACTTTTTCATTATATTTTATCTGGAAAATTTGGAGCTTATCTTATCTCCTTAATTCCATTAATAGTATAGTTCAAATAGCCAGATAATCTAATAACGAGTGGGGAAAATACAGCAAAGCACTTTTATTACTCCTTTCAACATCCAATGTATATTGAAGTATAGAATATATAGGAAGCCTTCTTTGTATGCTTATTTTGTTTCAAGACTGTATAATTAACCTCACTAGCTATTGCAAAAATAGAAGCCAACTGATGGAAGTGTTCTCATCTTTTTATAACCAAATTTATAAACCTATCTGCATGTTAATGCACTTTCATCTTCTACCCTGATACAATTAAAAAAACACCCTTTCCTTCAGCAGCAGTCAAAGTTTTCACATGTACTTTGGCCCCATCAGCCTTTACTTTCCCTTCTCCAATTATCTTAATGTTCTCCTTCTTTTTTTTTAAAGATTTATTTATTTATTTGAGAGTGAGAACGCACAAGCAGGGAATCCATAGGCAGAAGGAGAAACAGGCTCCCCACTGAGCAAGGAGCCTGATATGGGACTAAATTCCAGGACCCTGGGATCATGACCTGAGCCAAAGTTTGCAGCGTAACCAACTGAGCCACCCAGACATCCCATGTCCTCCTTTATCATTGCCTCTCTACTGGATCATTCCCATCAAACCACCAAGGCAAGCACTAGGACATTCTCTTCATCCTCATTGCCCTCTAGCTAGCATTCCACTTTTCCTGTTCAATTTTAGGATAAAAACTATTGAAAGAGTTGTTTCCTTTTCATCACCTTTTATATTTTTTCAGCTTATTTAGATATGGATCTTACCTCTACTATTCCCATCCAAATTTTGAAACTCTTTCTACCAAAGGCTTTCATGGTGATAAACACAAAAAATACCTTTTTTTCTGCTCTAATTTTTCGTAACTCTCAGTAGTGCTTAGCACAGTTGTTTCTCCTTCTGGAAATCTTTTTTTTTTTTTTCTGTCAAATTCTGATTTGCAGAATTGCTGAAGCTCTCCTGATATCTTAACGAATCCTTTTTTTCTTCTTCTAGATTCTCTGAAGCTCCCCTGATTTTTCTCTAGCTTTCTGATTGCTCTTGATTTGCAGATTCTTCTTTGTCCAGCAAATCTCTGGAGTTCTTGAGGACTTGATATTAGG